GGAAGAGGAGGAGAAAACAACAAAGAATAAAGAATGTGGGGAGTACCCATACACAGGATGGTTACCATTCAGGGCACCTTATTCCTAAGAGGATCTAAAATGTCATTAAGGGTGGCTGGAGAGTAACTAAAAGGCCTAGTTTTCCACCAGTTCCAGCTGTTGTAAACTACTTGGAGTTCATAAAATCCTGCTGTGGACAGTAGCCTCCTTCTCCAGAAGTCATCCAATCCACCCACCATTTGCCCACATCAGCTTACTGCTCCTTCTGTGTGCTTTCCATGGCTCTCTGGCCCATGCTTAGGCTCTGCATCTCAAGGATTAACACCATCCCCACATCCACCCTCTTCCTATTGAACTTGGGTCTTCCTAAAATTCAACATTGAGCCCCATTTTAGAAGACGCCTGTTTATGCATCTAGAACTTTCCTGAATCTATGTTTTTTCCCTTGTCTGTGTTCTGTAGCCCCGAGAATTGGGACTAAGTGCTGAAATTGCTCTGTAGGCTGTGAGAAATCTTGACTTATTTCCTGCCATATATGTAAGATTTCCAATGTCTAAGCTTGGGTTAATTTTCTATTTGGAGCTATATCTAGAGCCATAAGGCTCTAAGGATTTGAAGATGGAGAGGTTCAGGGGAGTGCTATATTGGTAAAAAATGCCTAAGGCTTCAAATAGCAGAAATCTGCTTAGAAAATAGACATTTAACTAATATATCAATAAGACTGGAATTAGGTGGTTCCAGGATAGGTATAGTGGTTCAACAATATCAGCAAGGACCCAGGTTCTTTTTGTCTGTCCACTAGGCCAACCTCGGTGTGTTGGCTTTTTTCCTTGTCCTTGTTGCCTCATGGTCTCAAGATGGCTGCTGTAGCTCTAAGTGTCAAACATCTATATTCAAAGCAGAAGGAAGGGACAGGCCCCTTCACTATTTCTCTTTGAATCAAAAAGCAAAATTCTTCCCAGAACGTCCCCCAGCCATTTCCTACTATGTTTAGGCAGAACTAAGTCATATGCCCATTTCTAAACCAACGGACAGCAAAAGAGATAAGTAACCAGCTGCCACAATGACACACATGGGCCTGGTGAGCCATGGAGTGCCAGGGTGCCTCTGCGGCTGGCTCCTTTCTCCTTTTACAGAGTCCCAGCTCTGCTCTGGTCATTCCTTTATCCTCTTGCCCAAGGCAGGCTCATTGTTCCTTCCGCAATACGTGCATTTTCACTGTGTCATAGCTTTCCCCCCCCCTTCAATCTCCAAGATTTTTCTTCAATTTAGTTCTGGCTAGCACCGTGGTCGGCAAACTGCGGCTCGCAAGCCACATGCAGCTCTTTGGCCCCTTGAGTGTGGCTCTTCCACAAAATACCACGTGCGGGCGCGCACGTACAGTGCGATTGAAACTTCGTGGCCCATGCGCAGAAGTCGGTATTTTGTGGAAGAGCCGGTATTTTGTGGAAGAGCCACACTCAAGGGGCCAAAGAGCCACATGTGGCTCGCGAGCCGCGGTTTGCCGAGCCGCAGTTTGCCGACCACTGGGCTAGCACATTGCTCCACCCAGGCCCTACTTGCCCTCAACATCTTGTCACACACTGCCTATAATGTCTCATTTTTTTTTGGTTCAAATTTCCCAAAAGGAGAGTCTGACTGGTCTAACTAGGTTTCTTTATATGTTTGAGCCAGGTGATTTCAAAAGTCCTTGGCCAGTCTATCATGGGTCCTGGTCCAGTGACCTTGGATGTATGTGCGGGGAGGGGAAAGAGGCAGGGTCATGTGATACAACACAGCCACCTGGCAGTGAGGGCTGAATGAGGCAGCTCCCCACAAAAGGGGTTGTGAGGTAGGACAGGTGCAGTGGAGTGGAGCAACAATGTAAGTTTAGGGTACTCTACCAAGAGAGAGACCGCATGGGAGAAGACTAAAGAGGGCATGAAACACAGGTGGACATTTCAGTTCCATTTCAGTAGATGGTACATGGAGACAAGTGGCAGACAGTGCCTGACCTATGGCCACAGTCCAACCATCATGGTCAAATGCAGCCATCTGGTCACTCCAGTTGAGACCCAGTCATGCGGGAGCAGAAATAAACTAAAAAATTCCAAGACCGAAGCACAAAACCCAGCGACCAGCTGTCCTCCTGTCCGTGAACATGTAAGCCTTGCTAAGGAGATGCAGAGGCAGCTGGCAAGGACCCTCCCTTTCGTTCTCTTCTTAATGCTCAATGGTGGGCTCACAGCTTCACCAGGTTCAAAGTCCAGCTGCCTAGCAGCAGCCTTGGGTCCCTAGGAAATGCAGTTTTCACAGGCAGTGCCAGCACTGGGAAGCAGCTCTGATATCCCACCAAGAACATTCTAACTTACTAGCTGTTAAAGAAAGGTAGAAGAGCCCTGCTGGTGTTTCTCAGTGGTTAGAGCGTTGGCCAACGTACTGAAAGGTCGAGGGTTCCATTCTCGGTCAAGGGCATGTACCTGGGTTGCGGGTTCACTCTCCGCCCCCAGTTGTGGCACGTGTGGGAGGCAACTAGTCATTGTGTCTCTCACATTGATGTTTCTCTCTCTCTCTCACATTCCCTCCCTTCCACTCTCCCTGGAAAGCAATAGAAAAAATATCCTCAGGTGAGGATTAACAACAACAAAGAAAAGTAGAAGAGAGCTCTAAGGCTCTATAAGACCTTAGATGTATACACAGAATGTTCCCTCCCACACTCTTTTTTCTTTCCCCAGGGGAGGCAGAGATTTTGCAACAACAAAAGGCAGGAAGCTCTTTCTGTGTTTTGTGCTTGGGACCCAGAACTTTGCTATACATCAAAGGGATGATGCACTCTCACTGGGGATGGGAGTGGCCCAGGTGGACATTCACTACAGCCATTAGCATCTGTTCTCATTGCCTCCACGAACTTCTCGGTTGCTGCTAACCATAGACACAATTCACGTACTCCATGCCAGACGAATACCTACTAGGTGCCAAGCAGGCACTGTGAATATGGAGATGCTTCAGACCTTGCCCTTAAGAGCTCCAAGTTCACGCCGAAGGTGGTCCCTAAGCCAGCCGTACTTAGCCAGGACACTGATGGACAGCTCTGCAACAATACTGATTTCTTGCTTGTTTCCTGCCCGCCCCGCAAGGTCATTCCCAGGATTAGCACAATGCATGGTGGGTAGCAACAGTTCTCAGGCAGAGCTGAGGCAATGGGGACAAAGCATCTGCCACCCAGGGATATCGGGGCTAAGCAGGCTGGCCTGCCTGGTGTCAGGTGGGGAGTGGTAATCCCAGAGAGATCACCTCCCTCCTGTACGAGGTGGACGAGACCAACCGACAGCCATCCCAGAGAAGGCGGCTCCGTCTCCAGTCAAAGGTAAACGCACCTGCATCCATGCCTGCCCTGAACCACGACCCACCAGCTTCACTCGCAGTGTCCACAAGTCGTCCTGAGTCTCTCCACGTCTCTCAGAGGTGCCAGGAGGAACATAAAGATGAGATGTGTTTTTTTTCTTTCAAAGAGCTTGAAGTCTGTTCGAGAAGAAAAAGGTTTTTGATATAAAGGTATGAAGGACTAGGACGTTACGTTGAGTGCTGAGTGAGTTCTACAGGCAGTGAACGCTCATAGATGTGCAGAGCAGAAACCCAGCGCAGGCCTGCAGGGTCCCTGGAAGGCTTCAGGGGAGAAGTGGGCTTTGGGCAGGCTTGGAGGATGGGCAGAATGCAGGGGGGAGGGCTGCATTCCAGGGGGAGTGTGGCGTGAGCATCGACCCGGGTGCTCAGGACATAGGCCCCTCTTCATTCCCTGTGCTCTCCCTGCTCCTGCTGTAATCACAAGAGGAGAAAGCCAGAGGCTGCTGTCTCCTTGCACAGAAGTTTCTCGGAAACGGGGGTGGGGGGACCTGTGACACTCTCGTTTCCTATGGTGTCATCACAGTGGGAAGCCAGGGTCAAGGCTGTGCTGTCAACACAAACCTCAGCCTTCCGGCCAGAGTAGAACTGTGGGGTCATCCTGGGAGGACTGCTTCTCTTCAAAGGCCAGGATCTGGGGGCTTAATGCTGATAAAGACATCATCTTGGGAAACCAGACTCTCAGCCCAAACCTGGCTCTGCTCGCACAATGCACGTGGTCAAACATTTGGACAGAATTCTGGCAGAATTTCAAAGGACTCATGGAGCAGAGAAAATCTTTGAATATTATGAATAGAGAAAATGTCCATTCATCTCCTCATTCACACTGGAGATGCCCTATGAATAGCAGCAGTGCAGGAAAATCCTCAGAGGGAGTGAGCAGCTGCCAGAGAGGATGAAATCACAGGGCCGGGCTATCATACAGATGGAGCAGAACCCACGTCAGAGCTCACCCTTTAGCGTCTCAGACAGGAGAAAACTCCTCAATGAGTGGAGTGACGCACTGAGAAAGCACAGACCTCACCCAACAGCACATCAGCCATTCTGGAGCTAAATCTTTCAAATGTAATGAATTGGGGGTGGTGATCATTTGAGGAGGAATCAGCCCTTATTCATCACCGGAAGATTCTGACTGGAGAGAGGGGTTATGAATGATGGAGCTCATGAAACACAGACCACGCAGGGCCCAAAGAAGACTGCTGGAGGGGCCTCATGAGAGAAAACACGATGACAGGGCAAATCTGGAACTTGTACTTTTAGTGCCAGACATGACAGACTTTGGCTATAGGGAAAGCAGGCATCCTGAGGGAGAGAGCTTGTTCAGTGACACAGACGTGCACCTATAACCCTTGGGGTCCACATGCGGGGGTACTAATCTGTGCATGAGAAGGATCTGGGCTCTGCAACTCTTGGCCATTTCCTCTCCATGGGGCTACAATGCCTCTCTTTCTTCTTCTTTCTTCAGTAAAGTCTTGGCCTGTAGGTGAACATGTGCTTAATCCAGTGATGGTGAACCTATGACACGCGTGTCAGAGGTGACACGCGAACTCATTTTTTTGGTTGATTTTTCTTTGTTAAATGGCATTTAAATATATAAAATAAGCCCTAACCAGTTTGGCTCAGTGGATAGAGCGTCAGCCTGCAGACTCAAGGGTCCCAGGTTCGATTCCGGTCAAGGGCATGTACCTTGGTTGCGGGCACAACCCCAGTAGGGAGTGTGCAGGAGGCAGCTGATCGATGTTTCTAACTCTCTATCCCTCTCCCTTCCTCTCTGTAAAAAAAAAAAATCAATAAAATATATTAAATATATAAAATAAATATCAAAAATATAAGTCTTTGTTTTACTATGGTTGCAAATATCAAAAAATTTCTATATGTGACACGGCACCAGAGTTAAGTTAGGGTTTTTCAAAATGCTGACACGCCGAGCTCAAAAGGTTCGCCATCACTGGCTTAATCTCTTACTGGTGGTGTCAGGTGGGCAGGAGACCACCTGCCCATCAACAGGCTGGTGACTACCTTACATGTTTGACCACTGGCAAGCATGCCGCAGGGGATGCTGCTGTGACTGGTTGGTCCGATCAGTTATTCATTCACTCAGCAAGTACCTTTTAGGTACCTGCTCTGATCTCTACCTGGCACTATTATCTATGCTGAAGAACAAGGACAGGGAAGGAGGTCTCAGCAGCAAATGGCTTGGCAACTTCGGGGAAAAGAGAGGGGAATCAGGAAAACAGTAGCACCTCTGAGACTGTCGGAGTGTCTGTGTCCCCAGGTTTCAGGTTGGAGGGGGTTAGGAGAGAGCGCTGGGGAGGGAAGGAGAAAGAACTCTGATCTGACTGTCTACCACATGTCAGGCCAGAGTAGGATTTCTCAGCGCAATCCTGCAAGCCTGGCACCCTTATCTCCCTTTGCAAGTAAGGAAGGTAAGGCACATGCACAGCCAGCAAGGGGCAGAGCTTTCCTGGAAGCTGGATCTGTTCACTCCAAACCCCATAATTTCTCAACAATCACAAGGGAGAGACCTGGTCCTGTAGCACCTCTGTTCCCCAGGTATGTTTCCAGAGACTCCGGGGACAACAAGAGGCACGTGGTGAACTGGGGAGGGCTGGCTTTTGAAGACTCTACTTCAAGGAATTGGGAAAGGCACACTCATTCATTCCTCCATCCATTTACTAAATCTTTGTTGAGCCCTACGGAGTGCCAGGCACTGTGCTCTGGTGCTGGGAATGTGAGTGAATTAGCCTGACATGGTCCCTGCCCTCGTGGAACTTCCGTTCTAGAGGCAGTCATCCCGCATGCTATGCTATGGGCAGCCTCTCCTGCCCATGGCCTTGGCAGTCCCTGCCCTTCTGCGTTTTTCTCATGTGCTCATCTTTTTCATCACAGTAACAGCCTGCTGCCCTGGTCACACAGGGGGGCCTGACTGTTAGGCACTGGGAGAGCTGAAGTCTATCCCACATGCTCACACATGCTACGCACAGAGGAGAATCACATAAGCCAGACTCACAGGGCTGAGAGTGACTTCTGGGAGGAAGATGTCAGCTAAGACCTGGAAGAATAAGTTCCAGCCTGGTGTGTGCTGAGAAGCACCTTCCAGAGAGAAACACGCTAGAAGGTGTGCTAGTGACGGAGCAGAGTGAAAGGGGCTGGGAGACGGCCAGTGCCGTGTTTGTGAGGAGCACAGAATATGGGGTGGAGGGAGGAGAAGAGCGACCCAGCCAACAAGGGCCCTTAGGCTGGACCCTAAGAACAATGAGGACCGTGAAAAATGTTGGGTTTGGGAGATGACCTGATCAGGTTTGTAGTTTATCCCCTCATTCAGAAGCCCAAGGCTGCAACAGTGAGGAGACAGCTGTTCAAGGATCTGTTAAATCGGTGCAGATGTGGTTATAGAGTGAGAATATGAGTTCCGTCTTTTTTTTTTTCCTCATGAACCAAGGTTTCCAAGAGATGCAGTGAACAGAATTACTATAGGTGGCCTCAAGGGGAGCTGAAGGAGACTTCAAGGTTCCCCAGAAATTTTGGGATAGATGTGCATGAGCAAACATCCCCCTCTTGTGGCCTAAAGAGGTATTGCTATTGTGTTCACAACGCCTGCAGGAACCTTGCTTCTCACTGTGAGAGCCAGTGAGAAAGGAAGTTGGGGCTGCATGTAGCTGTGGGACCAGGGGGTGCCCACCTCTTTTTTTTTAAATCTGAAATATATATATACACATATATATGTGTATATATATATTTCAGATTTAAAAAAAAAGAGGTGGGCACCCCCTGGTCCCACAGCTACATGCAGCCCCAACTTCCTTTCTCACTGGCTCTCACAGTGAGAAGCAAGGTTCCTGCGGGCGTTGTGAACACAATAGCAATACCTCTTTAGGCCACAAGAGGGGGATGTTTGCTCATGCACATCTATCCCAAAATTTCTGGGGAACCTTGAAGTCTCCTTCAGCTCCCCTTGAGGCCACCTATAGTAATTCTGTTCACTGCATCTCTTGGAAACCTTGGTTCATGAGGAAAAAAAAAAAGACGGAACTCATATTCTCACTCTATAACCACATCTGCACCGATTTAACAGAGATTCCGGAATAGGTGATTACATTTTTTTTCATCCATATTTTTTAAGTTTCTGTTACGGACATGGATTACTTTTGTTAAAAAAAAGAGAGAGAGAAAATGTATCACGTTACAAACCTGGTTGGTTACAAAACCACAAAGAGAGGGTCTGTTTTGGGGGACCAGACTTCCTGAAGGATGCCTTACCCACTCTCTCTAGCCATGTCCTTCATTCCCCTTCAGCTCACACACCCCCAGCCGCTCCTGCCCATGGGCTTGGTGGTCCCTTTCTCTCATGTGTTCACCTTTCACTCATAAAAGCAACACCTTCCTGACCTAGTCACACCGGTGGGCCTGACAGCCAGGTTCTGGGAGATCTGGAAGTCCATTCTACTCTTGAGGGTTCTCTCCTTTGTGGCTCTGATGCTGAACCAGGGCCGGTTCTGCCACATGTGCTGCATCTATGGGGTCTTTGCCTGGACAACTTTTCTGATTTTGAACAAGGGGCTCACCTGGCCTGCAGGTTTGGTCACTCTCGTCACCTTCACAGATTTTGTTTCTCCTGCTTGAAACTCTTCAAACTCTTCTCATGGGTGGGCAAGCTGCTTGACTTCCCCTCTGGAAGGTTCCCTGATGCTGGTCTAAGGTACTGGAACATTCTGAGCGGTATTCCAGCACTGGTGCCTGCAAAGTTTCACTGAGTCTGCATGAGCTACCGGTGGGGTCTTCTTTCAGCAAGTTCCTGATCTGAGCTGAACTCCTTGTCCTCAGTCCTTAGGTCACCAACTGAAAGTATACATAGTGCAAAGTAAAAAGCTATTGAAATAAAATCCATGCCTATCATAGGGGATCGATTACATAAATAATGGCATGTGATATAGCAATAAAATGAGGTTGTAAAATAATAAATGATCCTACATTTTTGAAAAAGGTTATAAATAATATACATGTAGTAAGATTATAAGTTGCTTTCATTTACTTTTTAAAGAAATATATTTTTATTGATTTCAAAGAGAAAGGGAGAGAGGGAGAGAGATAGAACATCAATGATGAGAGAGAATCATTGATTGGCTGCCTCCTGCATGCCCTGGGGATCAAGTCCAAAAGCCAGGCATATGCCCTGACCAGGAATTGAACCATGACCTCCCGGTTCACTGAGCCACACCGGCTGAGCTACTTTCATTTTCTTTTTAGCCGTATTTGTATTTCCTATAATGAACATGTATTACTTTTATAAGAAAATGTCTCAAATTAATATTTTACAAACTTGGGGAGTGGATGAGGAAAAAGCAGGGGGCCAAAATGGTAGTGGGGTGACAGGAGAAGTAGGGAAGAGTAAGTTGAGCTCTCCAGGCCACACAGGAAGAGGATGTTGCTAAGGAAGGGAGCCAAAAAAGTTGCTCCAAGGGGCCAAGGTTAGTGACCTCCAAAGAGTGAAGTCCTGGGGTACCCCTTGGAGGCTGGCAGAGTATGGAGGCTTGAGGTAACTGCAGAACAGGTAAAAAGGAAGGGGCCCGGGCAGAGGGAAGAAAGCAGGATTTGAAGGTATGGTCCTGTGTTGGACAAAGAACTCATACACATCTTAAACAATAATTTAAAAATAATTTTATATGTAAGCACTTTGTAGTTTACATTTCTCATTTACTTTCTCCTCTATTATTTTATTTGATGCCTGCAGATGAGGAAACAGAGGTTCAGAGAAGTGAAAGGACTTGCCCAAGATCACATCGTATACAGTGGAGCCAGGACCTGAATCCAGTTGGTTCCAGTGTTTGTTTTGCTGGGCTACGATACTCAGCTTTCCTTCATGAGCACGGGCAGTGAAGGTGAATAAAGGCCAAGGGGGAGATTACAATTAACTACTGGTAGTGATCGAACACTGACTGATTAGAACAGATGCTGGTCTCATCTGCAGATCCAGAGGCAGGGGCCTGGAGTCCTCTTATAGGACCCAGTGATAAGCATTAGATGCTGGGCCTTAGAGAGGTCCTGAGGGTTGGGGGAGGGGGGCAGGGAGCAGGAGGGGAGTAACTAGAGTGGCCAAGGTGGCTATTAGGGGACACAGCAGAAACCCGATTAACAATTAGTCTAGAAGCATTTCAATACTTTAACAACCCATCCATCCTGATTAACAATTAGTCTAGACCAGCCGTGGGCAAACTACGGCCCGCGGGCCGGATCCGGCCCGTTTGAAATGAATAAAACTAAAAAAAAAAAAGACCGTACCCTTTTATGTAATGATGTTTACTTTGAATTTATATTAGTTCACACAAACACTCCATCCATGCTTTTGTTCCGGCCCTCCGGTCCAGTTTAAGAACCCACTGTGGCCCTCGAGTCAAAAAGTTTGCCCACCCCTGCTCTAGAAGCATTTCAATACTTTAACAACCCATCCATCCATTCTGGTGGGCACCAGGTAAGTGTCATCCCTGCCTCTGGCCTCCCCTAGTTTTGTGTCCCAGAGATGCCAACAGAGACAGGAGACAAGAGACTGTAGAAGCTGTTGAACATGTTGCTTATTTCAGTGGGGGAGCTGAAATAAGGACACAGAACAAGAAGAGACTGATGTTCTCCCTGATGTAGGAATCCACGGGCACCTACAAATTTGTGAAGTCAATTCTTGGTTCCTTGTGCTCATGCAAAGACCAGTGGACACTGCTGATCTACAGCAGCAGCCTCCTAGTGGTGCTTCTTGGCTTTGCAATGGGTGTGTATTGTCCTCTTACAAAGGAGTGCTAAGTTCTGAGAACTTACAGCAAAGAAACAGTGATCTACCCACTCCTCTCTGAAGGAGACACAGGAGTGTGCCAGCCCCTCCACCCTGCCTGCTCCCCTAGGGAGCCACACGCGGCTCTTTGGCCCCTTGAGTGTGGCTCTTCCACAAAATACCACGTGCGGGCGCACAGGTACCGTGCGATTGAAACTTCGTGGCCCATGCACAAAGGCCAGCTTAGGAGTACCCTAATTAGGTTAATAACAATGTACCTACCTATATAGTTTACGTTTAAAAAATTTGGCTCTCAAAAGAAATTTCAATCGTTGTCCTGTTGATATTTGGCTCTGCTGACTAATATGTTTGCTGACCACTGCTCTAGGGTGAGGTGGATGCCTCATCGGGTCTATTCTCCTGATTCCCAACCCCCCTGCCTTTCCCTGAAGCAGAGCCCCCTCCATACACCCCACTGGGTGGCTTGATCTCCTAGGTTCCCTTCAAACTGAATACAGGCTACATGTAGGGAAGAAGAAAAGATAAAGTTATTGTAAATAAAGCTCTCCGTGAGCTACACCATTGAGTGTGATTTGGCTAAAAAGCAATCACACCGGATTTCAAAACAGCCCACTACTGTAAACTCCTCAGGAATGGAGGACACCGCTGTGGTTGGGGCACCTGTGAATGACTGAGAGGAGGCTTTCCGTTCCCTTTGCTGTCCTCCGACGACCTCAGTAGCTCTGAGTTCTGGACTGAAGGCCTCACACGAGTTTGATGATCACACTCGGCTCTCAGCACAGACCTGAAGCTGTGATGTCTGTCCTGCTTTCCAACACAGGCGGGCCCAGGAAAAAGAAACCAACACCTTGCTCTCTTCTCCAGGGGATGCTGCCTTTTCCCACTGGCTTGGAGGGATTGGTGCTCCCAAGACTCAATTGGTGGAAGCTGGTGATGGATGTAAATTTTTTAAAATTAATTTTATTTAAATTTTTCCCCGTTTTATTGAGATATGGAATTAAAAGTTATATATATTTCTGTAAATTTTTAAAATTAATTTTAAATTTCCCCCCCAGTTTTATTGAGATATGGAATTAAAAGTTATATATATTTAAGGTGTACAGGTTGATTATTTCAAATTAAATTTTGATTCATTTTGGTAAAATAGTTATTTTGAAAATTAAATAAGTTTGATTTATATTAAAGTAAATATAATTTGGATCTATTGATATGATCATATTTCCTGAATTTCCCCCTAAATGTCCTAGTTTCAAATATTCTGTCTAGTTGTTCTCAACAGATATCAGAACAGCTCAGAAATTCCAATTTTTAAAAATCCAACCTACCTCTCCCAGGTGGCTTCTGAAACCTGGAAACGGTACCCAAATCCTTTGTTAGCACACTTGTATTAGTTTTCTTTGCTGAGTAACAAATTACTCTAAAATTTAGCAACTTATAACAATTAACATGAATTTTCTGTCTCTGAGGGTGGGAAATCGGGGAGCAGCTGAGCTGGGTGGTTCTAGCTCAGGTCCTTTATGAGGATAAGGCCAAGATGTCTGCTGAGACTGGGAGTTTTTTCAAACTTTGGGTTTGTGTCTCCAGAGATAACAAGTTTGCTAAGAACACAATGTGGAAAGATCACACACCTCAGGGTCTCATGGTTAGTCTTTCAGTAAGAGGGTAAACAGAAGGGGCACAGAGTCAAAGCCCTTACTTTTCAGTTTCAAGAAGAGGGTGGGTAAGAAGCACCAGGAATGGGAAGTGCAGCCAGCAATGTGATTCTGTATTGTGGAAGAACATGTATTTTAGTTTCTGTAGAGAATGATTTAAAAATTGAGTGGTTTAAATAATGCTTTAAATGAAGCATACCCAGGTAAGAATGAGAATCAGAATGTCACAGGAACAACAACAAAATAAACCCAAAAACCTCTAGGACAGTGGTTCTCAATCTGTGAGTCGCGACCCCTTCGGCGGTCAAACGACCCTTTCCCAGGGGTCGCCTAAGACCATCCTGCATATCAGATATTTACATTACGATTCATAACAGTAGCAACATTACAGTTATGAAGTAGCAACAAAAATAATTTTATGGTTGGGTCACAACATGAGGAACTGTATTTAAAGGGCCAGAAGGTTGAGAACCACTGCTCTAGGAGGTCATCCAAGACCTAATTTATGTCCCACAGGTAAAAAGGCAAGAGCTAGGATGAATAGAGAGACACAGAGCTGGGTCAACATAGATTTGGGCTTTCTTTGGAGGAGGACAGACCCCTCCCTATTCTTATACCCGTTCTCTCTTCTCCTAACTGCTGGCCTGGCTCATTAAGTTCTCACTCTCCAAGGCCCAGGTGCTTTCCCAGGCCCAGCACTGCAGCTCCCAGGGCAGAATGGCCCGGAACTTCTCCAGCACCAGCAGCTTCAGGTTCAGTGCCTTCGAGGGCATCTCAGGCCTCAGCCACTGGCAGCAGAGTTCCTGGGAACATGGCAGAACCTCATGGGATCCCAAACCTCCTAGTCTTAGAACTGTCTGAAGTGTGGACAGGCCAGCTCAGGCTGGAAGATTCCTTGTAGCAAGGTCTCTTCCCTACCCCCTCAAGTGGTCCTCTGCCTCTACCTTCACCGTCAGAATTCTGTCCTATTTTTGAGGGGGTCTGGGTGACCAAGGACACAGCTCCCTCTCCCACTTCATGCTTGATCATTCTTAACTGGAAAAGTCCCCAACGAGGCTCACTTGTGCAGGGGAGATTAAGTTTCAGGTAAACTTCTCATGAGCTTCTTTATATGTAGGCACTTTCTGAAAACCATAAAATCCATTAAACAAAATTAAAAACCTGATTATAGAAAATTTCAGTCCCATTAAAGAGAATACAATAATACAATGAACTCTCACATATCCATCACACAGCTTCCATAGCTCAAGGTCCCCTATTTTCTGCCATTCTTGATTCTTCCATGCCCCATCACACTTCCTATGTGTGTGTAGTACTTTAAAGCAAATCCCACACAGTATACACAGTATATCTTTTTTTCTGATAGATAACTCAGTATGTAGCTCTAGGAGTTAAGAAAATTACACTTGAAAAAATTTTTTGGTTAATTCTCACCTAAGGATATTTTTCCATTGATTTTTTTTTTTAGAAAGAGTGGAAAGGAGAGGGAGACATACAGAGAGAGAAACATTTATGGGTTGCCTTCTGCACATGCCCTGACCAAGGGCCAGGGATCAAGCCTGCAAGGGAGGTAGTGCCCTTGACCAGAATAGAATCTGGGACCCTTTAGTGACTAAAGGGTGATGATTCTCAACCTTCCTAATGCCGTGACCCTTCCTCATGTTGTGCTGACCCCCAACCATAAAATTATTTTCATTGCTACTTCATAACTGTAATATTGCTACTGTTATGAATCGTAATGTAAATATCTAATATGCAGGATGTATTTTCATTGTTTGCGACCCACAGGTTGAGAACCACTGCTAGTCAGAGGACTGACGCTCTATCCACTGAGTCAAACCAGCCAGGGCTACACTTGAACTTTTAAAAAAAAAATGTATGATAGAACAACAACAAGTGGATGCTGATTTTTCAAACAAAATCATCTTCAGCGATGAGGCTCATTTTCATCTTGATGGCTTGGTTATTCGACAAAATTGTCGCATTTGGGGTTCGGAAAATCCACGAGTGATTGTTGAGAAACAAATGCATCCACAATGTGTCACTGTTTGGTGCGGATTTGGGGCTGGAGGCATCATCAGACCATTCTTCGAAAATGCGGCTGCTCAGGCAATAACAGTTAATGGTGCTCGCTATCTCGACATGATAATCCATTTACCCAATATCCTATTCCATACCTAACCCTATACTGTATATTTTATGAATCAATAAAAAATTTACAATTTTTAATTAAAAAAATAAATAAAAATGTATGATATTATAGAGAATAGTTTAGTGATCTCCCTGTACCTATTTCCACCTTCAATAATTATTGACACCTGGCTAATCTGCTTACATCTGCTCCCCCACTGGGTATTTTTCAAGCAAATCTCAGACATCATTTCACCCATATAGTCTGCAGTATATGTTCCTAAAACTATTTTCTTTTTTAAAGCGCAACCCCAATAGCATTATCCCTGCCAGAAGCCAATTCCAGCGTGACAGCAGGGCTGAATCTGGGAATGGCTGAAGGCATTTCCCCAAACCTGAATAGGATACATTAAATTGATTGTTGGCTGCCAGAAAGCTCAGGGCATCTTAATCTACATGGTATTTCCTCCTACTGACCTGAAGAGCTGTAGGCTAATTCCCCCATTCTGACAATGCCTCTGTATATGAAACCCTGACCCTTTGAAGTGTATATCTCTGCCTGGCCTCAGGACAATTTGTGTTAATAAAAAGCATGGGGTCCTGAGACAAGGAGATCTTAGATCGTAGTTTCCTTTAAACTAGGCTCCTCTGACCCCCAAATGCCTCTCAAATGCCTCTCATTATATTTCGTCTCTGGACTCCTATTTAATCTATGCACAGCCTTCTCCAGAATGCTGAACCCTTCTAGATGCCGGAACAAGAACCCCGGCATATCCCAACTAAAATTTAAAACAAATCCTTAATATCATCAATGTTCACATTTTTCTGATTTTTTAAAAACATTTTTATTAATTTCAGAGAGGAAGGGAGAGGAAGAGAGAGATAGAAACATCAGTGATGAGAGAATCATTGATCGGCTGCTTCCTGCACGCCCCCCACTGGGGATGGAGCCCGCAACCCAGGCATGTGCCCTTGACCGGAATCGAAATCGAACCCGGGACCCTTCAGTCCGCAAGCCGAGGCTCTATCCACTGAGCCAAACCAGCTAGGGCACATTTTTCTGATTTTAAAAAAATTCACAATTTTATGGTTGTTAGAATCATGATCCAAATAAGGTCTACACATTGCATTTGGTTGATAAGTCTCTTAGTCTACAGGTCCACTTCCCTTAAATTATTTTTGTCTTGAAACGAAGTATTTCAGCTGTTTGTTCTTAGAACGAAAAGACACCTAAATGCTTGAGCGCTTGTTCTGTGATCCGTACTGTGCTTTGCGGACAGCCCTGGGCCGGACTCTCCGTCGGGGCCATTCCCTGGTTCTCTCTGGGCTGGTACCTCCCTGTCACAGCAGTGGGTTGGGCTGGATGTTCTCTACTAAAGGCTCCTCCGAGACTCCCATGGACCCCTCTCATCACTGTGATTCGGGCGGATCTACGCCAGCCGAGCGCATTCCCCGGGAACTCTCGCCGCGACCCATCCGAGCGGGGCCGGCTCACGAACGACACCCCGCCTCTCCAGGAGGCCGTCCACCTGCCTAGGTGCTCGGGAGCCCAGGTAACGCCAGAGGAGCTTGCCCCAAACGCGGGAAAATCCTCACCACCCGCAAGGCGAGCAGGCTGCGGTCCGCTCTGACCGCGGAGGCGAGCGGCAAGGCCCGCCCCCCGCAACTGCTATCCTCCGAGTCCCCTGCGGAGGGCCATTAGCCACGGGCTCGAGGCTCTACGACCTTTCTGTGTCCTGGGCCAGCAGGTGACCGTGCGCAGACAGCACCCCACCACCCTCCCCTAACTTCCCCCACCAAGGCGCCTCCGACACCCAGCCCTTGTTTCTGGGGCCAGAGGAGGCAGAAACACTCGGCTGGGCGGGGACTCCGGACTACATTTCCCAGGAGACTCCGGGCACAGCACACTTCCGGCCGTGCGGCACAAAAAACGGTAACTTGGAGTTGCCAGAGACAAATCCCCAGGTAATTGGGCTTCTGAAGCCCTTGAACAGAGGAGCGGAGACAGAGGAGAGGGATGAAGTAGGGAAGGAGAATGGGAAATGTGGTTGAAAAGCAACGTGAAAGAGCACAACCCCTTCTGTTTACCTTTTTTGTTTCCACGGACGTTCACGGTTCGCAAGAACATCGCACAGCCCTC